GTTGGTTACTTGTTCCAGACCGCGTAACTTCCATCCAGAAGCAGTTAGAGAGTTGAAACTTGCCACAAATGTTTAAGAAGCTTTATTCTTGATATTCTGAAGATGTTTCCTTATTTTAATTGAGTCTGTGGCTTGTTCCTGACGATGTAACTTCTATCCAGAAGCCCAAGACAGTTCTAGACCTCGTAACTTTCATCCAGATGTATTTAGAGAGTTGAAATTTGCCATAGATGTGCAAAAAGCTTCTTTCTTGATATGCTGAAAACTTGCATGAAATCCCGTTGGTCGTTCGCTTGTTCCAGGCGTTGTAACTTCTATCCAGAAATGGTTGGAAGCTTGAAAGTTCGCAAAAATGTTGGCAAAATCTCAAGTTTAAAGCGCGCTAAATGTGATCTGCAATATACACAAAACTTCGTTGGTTGGTAACTTGTTCCAGACTGCGTAACTTCCGTCCAGAAGCAGTTAGAGATTTGAAACTTTCCATAAATGTTTAGCAAGCTGCATTCTTGCCGTTCTGAAAATTTTCCTGATTTTAATTGGGTCTGGGGCTTGTTCCTGACGTTGTAACTTCTATCCAGAAGTCGAAGAAAGTTCGCGATGTCGCATAAATGTTGCCAATGCTTCAGCCTCAATGTGACCGAAATTTTAACGACGCCCTACCTAAACGTTCATTGGTCGGTCCCTTGTTCCAGACCTCATAACTCCCGTCCAGAAACAGTTGGCGACTTGAAATTTGGCATCGATGTTCAGAAAGCTTTCAGCTCAACGTGCGCTGAAAGACCACAGCCACCAAGACATAACCACAATAAAAAAATCGCTGGAAGCTCCAATTTCACGATTCCGTCGATTTGCAGAGACTGGCATGGTGTGGCGGAAAAAGCCGGACTATCTGGGGAACTCATCCGCAGCCTGGCCAACGATCCAGACCCGACCGGTAAAGTGCTGAAAATGTGGAGCGACACCTGGAAAAGCGAAGCCACCATCAGCAAGCTGATTGGCTATCTGGAGGATCTGGATCGCCTCGATGTGGTGGACGATGTTCTTCCATTGATCGGTAGGTGAACTGTTGATGATGCGCTGATGTGGCGCAGCGTGTTAATCCAGATGTTTCCAGCTGACGATTTGAGGTTCTTCCAAGAGAATCTGGCCAATGGGAAGACAGTGGCCGCCTTCGATCTGGACCTGGACAAGCACATTCTGACCAGGGATGACGTATTTCGGATGCAGGAGGGTCTCGAGCCGCAACTTTATGACGCTTTTGTGCTGTTCGACGACGACGACATCGCGTTTGCCACCGAAATTATCGACAACATGGAGAAAAACCACGACATGAAGTTCTGCATAAAAGAGCGCGATCTGGTGGCGGGCGGCTCGGAGCATGACGCCGTCATCAAGCTGATCGCGGAAAGGTGATCCAGAATATCCAGAAAATCCCCGACCCCAGTGACCCGAAAATCCGGATTTTCCAGGTGCGCCCGACTGATCGTCGTCATTTCGCCGGCCTTCCTGGAAAGCAACGCCAACAAGTTCTTCTACAGCGTTGCCCAATCGATTTCAATCGGTGAGTTTCTCGGGAAATTTGGCGAATATCCAGAGAGATTTGCGGGGGGTTTGCAGAGCAGCGGCAGCGCAAGATCATCCCGTGCATCTACAAGGACTGCGGCAAGTTGCCGCCCGAACTCGACTGCTACTTCAAGTTGGACTTTCGTCGATCGGGCGCCTTGTGGAACTTCTGGGAAAAGTTGCGCGATTCGATCGTTGTGCCGGAAAAGGGGCGCAGAAAGTTGCTGAGTTTGCCCGAAAACAGGTGAGTTTTGGGGGATGTTTCCAGAAATCTGGACCGGGTCCTTTTGGTCTTGGTGCCCCAGTGGGGGCTGGCGCGTTGCCATATTGGGTGCGAAATCTGAAGTCGCCAGCTGTTTCTGGATGGGAGTTGGGCGGCCTGGAACAGGCCAGGTCTTTCAGCCAGATTTCCAATGGGTTCAAGGATGAACGGAAGCTTTTTGAGGGTTTTGCAGATTTGGATTGAAAAGTTGCTTGAATAATTACAAAGTCCTAATAATTGCTGCAGGAGAGGAGAAGAGTTTTTTCGGCTGCTTGGTTGCTTTGGTCGTTCCGTCAATGTTGAGCTGGAAGCTCTGGCAACATGGATGCCAAAGTTCAAGTCGCCAGCTGCTTCTGGGTCGGAGTTATGAGGTCTGGAACAAGTGGCCGACCAATGGAAGGTTACTTAAGTGGCATTTAAATTCAGTGCATTTTGAGGTGGAAGTGTTGGCAACATTTTTGAGCAATTTTAAGCTTCTAACTGCTTCTGGATAGAAGTTACAACTCCTGGAACAAGTGAATGGCCGATGGGATTTTAGCCAAATTTTCAGCAGATTACGAAAGAAACGTTTTGACTATTTATGGAAAATTTCAAATGTCTAATTACATCTGGATGGAAGTTATGCTATGTTATGAAGATGTGTTTGCGAAATTTTGAGATTTCAACCACTTCTGGATAGAAGTTACAACGTCTGAAACAAGTGAACGGCCAACAGGATCTTAACCAAATTTTCAGCACATCAAGGACGAATCTTTTTGAACATTTATGTGAATATTCAACTGTCTTATTGCATCTGGATGGAAGTTACAGGGTCTGGAACACGTACCCAGCCAAAGAAGTTTTGTTTATGTCTCTTGTGACATTTAGCGTGCTTTCAAATTTGAGTTTTGCGGACGTTTTTGCGAATTTTCAAGCTTCCAACCACTTCTGGATAGAAGTTACAAGGCCTATAACAAGTGAACGGCCAATGGGATTTTATCCAAATTTT